TGATGTTCTCATTATAATCAATTTTAAATGTATCATAAATATACTACTGAGATATTCCTCGCACATTTAAAATGAAAATTGAGTACTTACATGAACTTTCAGATAAGATTTAAGATTTATTGAATTTTAGAAAACAACTGAAAGGTATAATAATTTGAAACTGATTCAGAAAGAGGTTTATCAATGGGTTTATCATTGGTAGAGGTTTATCAATGGGTACTAAGTTACAGTTAGGACAGTTGACTTGACCTGGTATGCTATTGCACTGAAGGGTGACTGTGCTTAATAGTAATATACTGAGTCTTTCAAAAACCTAGAAGACAGGAACTGAATGTTTTACTGTAAAGAAAATGATGCATGTACCCTCCCAAACTTAGCCATGATCAGCATTTGCTGGCCCTAGGGGTGTATTATAAATGTTTGGAACATCATGTTTATATATATATATATATATATATATATATATATATATATATATAGTTGTAATGTTTTCATGTATCGAATAAGAACAAAAGAGAAAGAAGTGGGATTGCAGTTGTACTCTGAGTGATGATGCTGGATTCTCCATTGTAGAGGTTGTAGTTTTACACACTCATCAGTAAAAGAGGGTTCTGATTTCAACTTAAAGGAAACGGATAAGCAATATTTCAAAAGTCATGAGGAAGAAACATAAAATTTATTCTTTTAACCCATACAAGAAAGTGTTGGTGGAATTCACATTGAGTCAAAAATTTGACTGATAAAATCATTATTCCAAAATTTGCCAGGCTTAGTATACAATAGGCAGTTCTGCAAAGTAGAAACCTCATTGTGAAGGACTACTACCTCAAGGCATGATGGTCGGAGTTTTCACTGGAGTGTTCTTTGACTCAGTAGCCTTAAGGATCCCCTCTGATCTCAGATGTTGATATCCTTTCCTGTAAGTCTGTTCAGTGACACTGTTCCACTGGTATCCAGTTCTTCTGGGGATAATTTTATGAAATACATTTAAATTGTAGAACCAAGTTTTGAAATGAAGTGTGACCTAAGTAAAGTTTTTAGTCCATTAGAACATTTTACAGATATATTCTCATTTGAAGGATACCTACTGGATGGATGACCTCCCAAATTTCCTTCTATAATGTATCCAACCCGCTTTTGAAATCACCTTGCACAGTTGACTTGACCTTGATTGAACTGTCACTTTGGTTGTCTTAGATTTGGTTCCCATAAGTCATGTACCATGTATGTATCAAATTATTACAAGCTACAAAAAATCAAAAGAACTTGTCCTTAGTTTCTCTCCATAGTTGCGTAGGAGAATTTCTTGAGTGTGGTATCATTTTTGTGTGGTATCTTTTTTCTATTGTGCTGCATATACCCTCCCAGACTTGATGATGTAAAGTCATAGATTTTTAGTTCCTCATGATTTTGGGTTGTTGGGTCATTGTTTATTCTGGTCTCACCTGGGCTTGTCCTTGTTGGTGCATTCAGGTGGTGGGTCTGCAGGTGCAGAGCTCAGCTGATGATGGGCAGTGGGGCCTTGACAGGTGATTATCTGGGGAAATTGACTGGGACTGTTTTTTTTTTTAAATATATGCTCTTGTTCTGTAAATTAATAAGTCAAAGAACAAGAAGACAGTAGGACCTTGATAGCACATGGTAATTTTCAGGAAACTAGATAATGTGGTGATGGAAGATGCAAATTAGAGAAATCATTCAAAGAAAACTGAAGTGTGGAACAATGTTTTGAAGAATCTGGTACAAATATCATTTTATCTGCTCCCTCATCTCAGCTTCTCTCTCTTAGCCTTGGGCTCACCTATAGGGGTCCCTTGGGAAATGACCTTAATGTGACAGCAGCGTGCCTACAGTTGTTTTCTAGGTTGATCACAATCACCCTGTCTACACTCGACTGCTTGAACATCCAAGTGTTAATGTAAACTACTGCCTCCGTCCCAGGGCCCCTTAAACTAAGAGAAGCTTGGTGAAGCAGGTACATTTTTGTTTTAATTTTAATTTTTAGGTTTATTTAATGATAGGAGCAATATTTGCTTATTTTGACAATTAAAAAATATAGATATGTGGCAAAAGAAATAGTCACTCTCCAGTTCTCATCCATCAAATTTAATTCTTCCAGATATAGCTTTAGCTTTTTGCACCTTTTTGTGCACACAGCATATATAATATGTGTGGGTAATTTGCTGTAAAAAATTGGTCCTCAACTATACAACTACTCAAGCAACTCGTTTTTATTATTTTAAAATGCGTCAGGGAAATATCTCCATGGTAATAAACTTAGATTTAACTTATACTTTTTAATAATTTCATGCTGTAGCATGGGGTGAATGTACCATAATTTATTCAGCTCTTTCTCTGTTGAAGGACATTTACATTTTTTCCAGGGTATATGGAAATTATTTGCTGAAATTAAAAAAAAATAACTTTCACTTTCTGTGAAAATAAACAATTTTGAACATATACACAAGTACAGGTGTGCCATTTATTTCTTTAAAAATTTTTTTTTAGTTGTAAATGGACACAATGCCTTTATTTTATTTATTTATTTTTATGTGTTGCTGAGGATTGAACCCAGTGCCTTACATGTGCTAGGCAAGAGCTCTGCCACTCAGTTACAACCCCAGCCCAGACCTCTTTCTTTCTTTCTTTTTTTTTTAATACTGGGGTTGAACCCTAAGGCGGTTTACCACTGAGCCACATCCCCAGCCCGTTTTGATTTTTTATTTTGAGAGAGGGCTCACTAAGTTGCCTAGGGCTTCGCTAAGTTGCTGAGTTTTGCCTCAAACTTGCAATCCTCCTGTCTCAGCCTGAAAAGTTGCTGGGATTACAGGTGTGCCCCACTGTGCCCAGTACAGATGTGACATTTTTTTTTTTTTTGCTGACTTACCAGCCATAAGATTGTTGGGTCATGAAAAGGTCAGTCATTTCTCAGTATCAGAGATATCATCAGATTCCTTTTTTTAAAGGTGGCAAAATGATATATTTCAATAGTTGGAGACTATGTACTATATCCTTACCAAAAAAATACTTTTTAAATTTTATTTTATTTTCACCAAAATAAAATGTAGCTGGGTAGAGTGGCACACACCTGTCATAATCCCAGTGACTCCTGAGGCTGAGGCAGGAGGATTGAAGTTTCAAGGCCAACCTCAGCAACTTAGTGAGACCCTGTCTCGAAACAAAAAAATAAAGAGATGAGGATGTGGTTCAGGGGTAAAGCACCCCTGAGATTAATCCTCTGTATTAAAAAACAAACAACAAAAAAATCTCTACATGACTTAAAAAGTAAAATGGTACTATGAGATAGTAGTTTCCTTCTTTTCCCCCAACTCTGCTCCTAACCTAGACTAATTTTCAATACCTTTAGATGTTCCTGTTGACTCCTCTTACATATCTAAATGTATAAGATACCAACTCAATTCTTTTACTTTTTCAATTTGGGCATCATCTCTTGACCCTCCACCTTCATTTCTGTGCTTTGAATGCCAAATCCCACCTCAGCTGGGCAGTATAGTAGTTACTCCACATGTTGGTTGAGAATATGCTGTGTATCAATGTTATCAGACTATATTAATGTATAGTTTTCACCATTGGGTCATACAGTGTCCAACTATTATTTTTTTTCTAGAATTAGCAATTTTTTTCTTTTCTGATTATTTTGTTTTCTGTATACCCATCATTAATGCTTCATCAAATCCTGCCCAAAGAATTAGACCTTCTCAATATGATCAGACACATCAAGTAACTGGAACTTCTATTTCACTTTATGCTATTTTGTATTTTTCAGAAGGCTTTGGAGACCTCTCTCCTCCAGTCTTCTGTTTTCTTGCTCTATTCTTGACTTCTGGGCTTCTTGACACTTTCTCAGCTGTCTCTTTAAATCATTTAAATCATTCTTCACAATCATCTTGAGAAATCCCCTTTACTTTTCCTTTTGGGAAGTCACTTGTTGCCTAAATTTCAAATCTGTTCTTTGGCTCATTTTACTGGGGCATCTACAATTGTAGCTTTCTGAGAAACAGTGCCTGTGAGATCAATTCTTGAGTCCTTTGAATATCTTCTTTGGTTCTTTATCCGGTATTAAATTCTGAGTCATAAATAATATTTAGTTGGAATTTTAAAGAATCTTCCCCCCTGTCTTCTAGGGCAAGTATTGCCATTGAGAAGTCTAATATCGATTTGATTTGCTATTTTTGTCCACAAAAGCATTTAGAATATTTTCTTTATTGTCACTATTTAAATTTTCTTTTGCCAATATGTCTTAAATTGTGCTGCATATTAGTTAGATTAACCCCTTAAATCTGGAAAACAAAATTACTTTGACATTGTTCTCTTCAATTAATGCTTTAATGTTCAAATAGTGTGAACCCTTTACTCTCTTGGCATCCCTCTCTTTAGGGACTTAGATTTCAGTTGTCTCTGCCTTGCCAAATCCAGTTACCACTCATCAGTTCATTTTGTATTTTGCAGAAAAAAACAAAAATCTTACCTCACACTGTCCTTTCTCTTTCTTCAATTAATTCTTCTTCGAGAGAGAAAAAAAAATCGCTTGATCATGGCATAATTTTAGTGAGATCTTGGGAAAAAGTGAAGGTAAATACATGCGCTTAGTCTTACATGATTTTTTTAGAAAACATATGTAGAATGTCTTAAAAGTAGTTGGTCATAAAGAATTAATTATTTTTAAGCTGGTAATATAATACAAAATACGCTTCGTGTGTTTCCCTTAAGTTACAGAAATGATTAGTTCTACATTAATACCTGAATTTCCCTCTTTTAAATAAATCTGCCAGACTTTCCTGACCTGTTCAGTTAAAACATTTTCTTCAAGCCCAACATTATATCTTCCTTTCTGCTGGCTCATAAGAGGACTATCTCCAAGTTAAGCATTTATAAAATTCTGTACATTGATCTTGGTTCAGTCTTTCACATAATAATGAATAGTGAGTTTGTGTGGTTATACAGCATGCTTATGAAATAACCATTTTTTTTAAACATAGTGCCAAGGGCAGTAGAGCATCCTAAGTGGAACTGGCGGACTAAACCAGGAAGCCGGGATTTTGATGAATTGAACCACATCCTTCAAGAGAGCAAGAAGCTCGGGAAAGCCCTTGAGAATCTCTCCCGAAGTAAGTTCATTTACTTGATTATAATTGAAATTCTTAAACATCATTAAAAAGCAGAAACATTCATTACTATTGGCAATGCCCCATTTCCAGCATCCTCATTACAATTCTCTGAAAGACTGAGGCGTTCAAAGGGCGTGAGATTGGAAATGACTGATTTTGCGTATTACACAGATTTCTGGGTAGACTAATTATAGAGCATATGAGGAGTTGTAGAACCCCTTGAATCTGTGCTACTCTATCCCTCTACTTGGTTTTTGCTACCCAGTTCAAATGTATACCCGATGACATCTTCTTCATTCTTCCTTTTTGAAAAACATCATCATCTTTCTAACGAATAAACATACTCATTGTGTCCATGAGACTTGGATGTCTTTGAAATTTCATGGATAGTAACAACTGGGCCAGATTCTTCTTAGAATCCTTTCAGAGCCTAGGACAGTGCATTGTAATTTACTTTTTTTTTTTTTTACAAAAGCAATAACTGTAATCAGAAGGCCTAGGTTAGAGGTTTTGCTGTGCTATAATAGCACAGTGACCTCCAGTAATCACTTAACTTTCTTGAGTCTTGGTTTTCTCATCTCCAGAACAGAAAGTTATGACTGTGCCTCCTGGTAGGGGCAAAGGCTTAAAATATTACTTACATCCCATGAAAATTTTAAATAAATGTTATTTTCATCAGAGCAGGTGAACAAGCATTTTGATTTGAAGAATGCTCTCTCTGTATGTAGACCTGCATATGCACTTCAGATTTTCAGTGGTTAGTTCACAGCGTTCCTCTCTTTCTCTGGTTCTTTAAGTGCTTATCAGTTTTAAAAATTGGATACCTTTAAAAGCATATTAATGTCAGGGTCTTGCTAAAATTTTTCTTTAGTGCCATGGAATATTCAGGATTCTGTGACTGTCGATGTAGCTGAGTGGTTGCTTGCCTACTATGTATGAAGTTCAGTCCTCAGCACTGAAAAATCTTAAAAGATTGTGAAATGAATGTCTGTTTCTTTGTTTGCTTTTAGATAGCATAGTTATAATGATTTCATGAATTTTATCACAGGTAAATATAGGCCCTTGGAAGGTTTTAGAAGAAGTTTTATTATGTTGTAATTATATGTGGTATATAGTATTATACATATTTATATGCATATTATGCATTATATATACATATGCACTTACACAAGTATAATTTTCATACCTCTTTATTTAGAACTCAGTCAAGCCTTTTTTAGACTTTTGTGAAATGAAACCTTTCCAGAAGTTAAGCTGCATTATAATAGGATTTTAAAACTTTCCCATTAGTAGAAACCCTCTGGATGGGATTTAAGAAAGCCTTAAAGCTTTTGCATAGATTTTATTTTTGGAGCAAATAACAATAAAGTGAGTTTTCATCTTATTACTGTATTATGTTCATGAAAAGAACTTGATCCTATTAATTTGGCAAAGGCCCCCTATTAATATTTCTAAAGGTTACCCTTTGGCACAGAGCCTGTGGCTCTTCACAGCCTCTCTTTTACTAAAAGAAGGGTGATTGAGGAATGTGGGTGATTATTACACAGAACTTCAAAAATACTGTCATTCAACTCTTGCCCTTTAAAATGTGGCAATGATCTTACAAACACTTGTTGTACTGTTGTTAATTTGTAGGATGCCACTTCATCTGTCCCCCAAACTTTTATTATTGTGGATGACTGTATTTCAATTGTGTCCTTACCAAGATTTGCAACAGAAGGGTTAGAGTTCAAATGTGGTTTGAATGTGACCTTACAGGCTGTTTTGGTCTATTCAGGCTGCTATAGCAAAATCCACAGAATCAGTGGCTTATAGACAATGGAGATTTATATTTCACTGTTCTGGAGGCTGGGAAGTCCCTGATCAAGGCACTGACAGGTCTGGAGTTTGGAAAAGGCCCTTTTCTTTGTTTATAGTTGGTGATTTCTCTCTGCCAGGGCAGCTGTCTGGGACCTCTCTTATTTGGGCATGAATCCCATTCCTGAGGGAGGAACATTATTACTTAATCACCTCCTAGGTCTCACTTCCTAACCCTGTCACACTGGGGATGGAGATTATGTTTTAACATATGAATTTGGAGGGGACACAAACATTTAGACCCCAATGCAGGTGATGTTTTACAACCGAGTCCTGTGATCAGAAGCCCATGATGGATTTGTTAAATACTTCAGGACAGTCTGGTAAAATGATAAATGCTTGGGGCAGCCTATGGCCAGCAGAGTATGAGAGGCAGATCTGGGACATTGTTCTTGGAACAAAGCCAGAACCAAGGAAGCTATCAGGAGAGTCATTGCCTAGACCTGAAGAAAGTGTAAGTCAGCTCCTGTATTTATGATGGGTACTATGTCTGGATTTGCTTGGTGTTTTAAGGGACTCTATTTTGTGAGAGTATGGTGGTGGAGCTTATATGAGATTAGTAAGAGGAACTCTTTTCTATCTCAAATTTATTTGAGTATCTTTCTGAACAAAGTGATTCTTTCTTTGAATGACTTAATTTTCAGTATTGAGTTTTAACATTGAATCCTTAGGCCCAACATGCTCATAGCTAACTCATCAGTAGAACTGCCATGGTCAGTATAAATTATTACAAATGCACACTTATTATGTATTGATGTTTACTTTGTTGTCTAATTGCCCAAATTCAGCAATAGAATCACAAACTTGGGTCTAGCAGCATTCTGAAGCAGAATATAATTCATTCTTGTTTGAAATAGTTTGAATGAGTTTGGATGTTCTTTCATTGAATAGTAACTTTACTGTCTGTGTTGCTCAACTTTCCATCACTGTGAGAAAATCAACTCAATGGCAGAAAGATTTATCTTAGCTCTCTGTTTCAGACATTTCAGTTCATGGTTGGCTGGCTCCATTGCTTTTAGTCTGTGGCAAGGCAGAACATCATCATAGGGAGCAGGTGATAGAACAAAGCTACCTACCCCAAGGTGTTCAAGAAAGTAAAAGGGAGGTGGAAGGAGGCAGAGGTTTTATTATAAAGCCCTCCCACCAAAATCCACTAAACTATGAATCTATGAATGGATTAATCCATTCATGAGGTCAGAGCCTTTGTGATCTAATCACCTCCTCAAAAGCCCCACCTCTGGACACTGCTGCATGGGGTACTGTGCCTTCAACACATGAGCTTTTGAGGGACATTTATGATCCAAACCATAACACTGCCCATTGTTTTGGTTATAAGGAAGACATAGGAGGTGGAATTTTCTTCCAGGTATCATCAAAAGAAATTTCAGTGTCTTGATATTGTGGACCTTTCTCTCCAATGTCAAAGCCATTGATGGGAAAAGTTGAAAGTTTTCTACTGAACTCCTAATTTAATAGTCTTTAAGGAGAGCTTGCTTTGCTTTTTCTTGGCGATACATTCTATAAAAATCCTACATATTTCAGAAATATTATTTTTAGATGCTTTGATAGCAAATAATCATTTACATCCCCCCAAATGGCAGACTTGTCTCAGCCTGGCAGCTGTCTTATAGAGACTTACATATCATACCCACACCCATTTAAGACAAGGTTCCAATAATCCAGTTTGCAAACATAATTTTCATTTCATTAATAACGATACCAAGCTCTCTTTCTGACTTATTGCAAGCTTTTCAGTGTGATGTTTGATCTTTAATTCAGTCTTAAACTGGGGGAGTCTTTGTGATATTACTCCACCATGAAGGTAGATGTGTTAGAGTGACTTATACTGCCTTGTCATGCCACATAGTCATGATGTGGTAGATGTGGTGAGATTTTGGTGCCTGGATTTTTCTCTCTGAAGCATTCTGAACTCTCTTCTGACACTGATTCTCTCCTCCCATGAGCTTGGGACTCATACTCATTCCTTTCAGTGTTTCCCACCACCTGGCTTTCAATAGTAAACATTTACCTTCATGTCCCCAAATAATGTCTCTTCCAGTGAGTGTGATTGCAGGGCCTCAGGGCAGCATCCTTCTAGGTGGTTGCTAATGAGGGCCCTTCATGACATTGCTGGCTGTACTAATACTAACCTTGATCAGTTGGTTAAGGTGATATCTGTCAGGTTTCTCCATGGCAAAGTTAGAACCTTTCCCTTCACTGATAGTAAATATCTTGGAAAAAATACTTTGAGGCTATCAAAACATCCAGTTTCTTTTCATACTTTCACCCTGCATACGTCAGGCTGAGTTCAATCCCTAGTAACAAGAACAACAAAAAACTCCCCCAAAACAAAACCAAACAAACACAAATAAAACCAGAAAAAAATCAAAACTCTCAATATTTTCTCAATGTTTGGATGGCTTAAGTGGGATTTTTGACAATGTGCTAAGTTTATCATCTTTCCTGTAACAGTTGTTACTATGGTATTCTAAAGGGAATTTTCTATTTTGCTCCCAAACATTTGTTCATTGAAATTCTTTTGCAGTAAAAAACATAAAGATTTATAAGCACTCCTGTTCTAGGGCCTATTCACCTTTGCCTGTGACAAGCCAGATGTCTGTTGAATATTTAGATATGGATATGGACATGCATGTGGATATGCATGTAAATGTCAGTATACATATAATTATATATCCATGGATATTGTACAAGGGGACTATATTCAAAGTCAGTTATCACTGATTTTTTTTTTGGGGGGGGTTGAAAATACTGAATTTGCCAGATTAAATTTATTCAATAGTTTTCCTTCTTTCTTTTTTAATATGTATTTTTAAAGTTGTATGTGGACACAATATCTTTATTTTATTTTTATGTGGTGCTGAGGATTAAACCCAGTGCCTCATGTGTGCCAGGTGAGTGCTCTACCACTGAGCCCCAACCCCAGCCCTATTCAGTTTTCTTAATAAAAAATATATAGCTTGGTGCAGTTGTACATGCTTATATTCCCAGTGACTCAGAAGATTCCTGCAAGAAGATTGCTAGTTCAAGATCAGCCTGGGCAATTTAGTGAGACCCTGTCTCAAAAATGAAAAGGTTTTGGGATATAACTTATGCGTAGAGCACCCCTGGGTTCAAATCCCTAT